TGGCACTGCTGTGTTCTGTCCTATGTTAATGGCCCAGACTAAGACTGTCTCTGTCCCAGGTTGCTTGTGGTCCCCTTGCTCTAATCACCTCCTCTGTGGCATTTTCCCACCTTCCTCTTACCTAACCCGGATGTCTTCCACTGCTGCGTTCAGGCCCGACACTGCACATCTGTGACTGGAGTGGCCACCCTCCTGCCCTCCTTCTGTACCTGTTGGTTATTGGGCTGTCCGACAGCGTGCTTGGGGCTGTGTGATGGACGTGGACAGTATGGCTATTTCGGAATAGTGATTTCAGACTGGGTGATGCCGGTAATGTAGAGGATATCTAGGAATCTGTGTTTCACGTGAGAATGGTGTGGTGTGAAATAAGCTTGCTAAATTACCAGCTTGGCTATTGGATGACTGTTCCGCCCCTTATGATAGAATACTCTGGTCTAATTGTGTTCATCCCAGATAAGAGCTTGAGTTCTCACGTTTCCGATAAAACTCTCCATCGTCCTGTCTTACCAGTACTGCTCTGAGCTGTCCCGCACCATCTGTGTTAGTGCCATCCTGGGCCAGACACCGCTCTGGATGCTTTAGTACGACACAGAACAAGGCATAACCCTGCTTGCCTTGAACATGGTACACACCAGTGATAAGGTGCTTTTAAAGAAGGAAATTAGGTACTATGCTACCAGACTGCAGCAAAAAAGGAGAGTTAGGAGTGTAAGCCAGAGGCTTCGGATAGAGTGCTAAGGATAAGCCTTCTTGAGGGTGCGTACTTTGTACAAAATATTGAAGTAGAGGGCAGGCAAGATGGCTCAAAGGTAAAGGTGCAGGTGCTCACTGCACAAGCCTGACCTGGCTTCAGTCCCTGGAGCCCCCTGTACAGGTAGAGAATGGGCTCCACAAAGTTGTCCTCTGCCCTATACACACACAACTAATAAATAGTAGTTGTTGTTGTAAAGGAATTCAGCCCATGGTTATCTAGAGGAAGCACGGCCCAGGCAGATCGACAGTCAGTGCAGAGACCCTGAGGCAGAAGACGCATGCTGTATCAGAGCTAGAGTGGGAAGCCCAGTGTGCAAGTCCAAGGTGACTGGAGCGGGACACCTGACTGGAGGGGTTCTCTGTCTTACTCTGAGGGAGCGAGGCTGTGTGACCTGACTCCGTGGTGAGCCTGGTGGTTAGGTTTTCAGCTCCTGCAGCTGATTTAAGCCCTGTTTAAGTACGGAAGACATGCTCTGCCTTGTTGTAATTGCTCCGAATAGAGCCAGTAGTGGTGGAGATACCGGCTCGAACGGGAGGGTTGGTTTGGTTTGGAGCCTTCATTGTACTGTGCTTTCAGAAGGCACGGGAGGGGCGGATCTTGACAACTGAGTGTCGCCCAAGCAGGACTCAGGAAAGGAGGCTCAGGCTAGAGCCTGAAGATTGCCAATCCTGAGTCCCCCCAGTACTGGCCCAGTACATCTCTGATTGGTTTCACTGGGGGATATGTGAGGAGCCACCTTAACAAGAGAGAAGCAAGATTGGAATCAGACTGTAAAATCATCTTTTGGCCTTCAGTTTATAACATAATCTCACTTAATCTTTTAAAGATGAGGTATTGGATAGCTTTCCAACTACAGTGCACTACAGCCTTCCTTAATTTATTTTAGGAACTTTCTGTTTAGTCCAGTGATACCATCAGGCGTGTCTTCTCAAATGTCGTTAGTATACTCGCCGGAGTCAAATCCTGTAGAGATGTGTGACTCTAGTAGCGCCCCTTTCGGACTGTCCGTCTTGCTTTATGGTGCTGGGGTGGAACCAGCCTTGATTTTGAGTTCGTCTGCACTTGTTCATCCACATCCTGCTCAGGTCTGAGAAGTGACCGTCTTCCCTAAACAGTACTGGGCGGTGCTTGTTCCTGTCCTGTGGTGTATGATTTGCTTTGGAGCCCCTTTCATGTGTGAGCTGAAATTTGATACTCTGTGATGGTCATAGATTGATCTTGGACCTTGTGGAAACAGCAGGAAAGAAATAGTAATAACAATTCTACTCTGTGGTGCTTTCGTTGACTTCACTGTATCCTGGAGTAGTGTGGTGCTCCTATGGAAATGACTAATGGTGTGCTGGTACAGTGGTTCACAGTCTCACCCTCCTAAAGATGCCTGTGGTAAAGCGCATCAGAAGCACCGCACCCACTATGTGGATCTCCCAGATAATCAGATACAATTGTGTGTGGTAGAAAAAGGCACTGAGAGTTACACAGGGGTGGTACATTCTATTCTGTGTGCTGTATGTTCGTGCTGTGGTTGCAGAAGCATGTGCACTGGGCTGCATATATGGAGGTCAGAGGTCAACTTTGGGGAGTTGGTTCTTCTCCATCCACCGTGGGTCCTAGGGATTGAATTTAGGATTTCATGGTGAGTGCTTTACCCACCGACTCATCACAGTGGCCCTGTTCAGCATTCTTAACATTTATCAGATTAGATGCCAGTTTGAGGCTAAAAATAGACAGTTCCTAAAGCAGCACTCAGGAGGGTGAGTCAGAAAAATGTCCAGGTCAAGGCCAGCCCTTAGTAATGAGACCCTGTCTGTCTTAAAAGCTCAGTAAGAGTGTCTGCCGGCATGCACAGAACACTGGGTTCAATCCTCAGCACTACCAAAAATGAATGGCTGGGATTTGGAGGGGGTGGTGTGCTCTTGACAGTCTTTCTTCATTAAGTATTAAGGAACAGAGAAATTGTCTAGAGATAGGTACCCTGCATTATTGTAACTTCTGTCAGATGTTAACATTTTATTAGTTTGTGTATGCATGTGTGCATGTGAGTAAGGTTTCATGCCATACAGCATGCATGTGGCGGCCAAAGAATAACTTTCAGGAGTCAGTTCTCTCTCCACAGTGTGGGTCCTGACCATGGACTGGCCTCTGATTATATTCTTTGAGACTTGGAACATCACTGAAATAAAAACTACCTTGATGAAAACACTTCAAAGAGTATAATTTACTCTTTATATTTTTGAGAATTACATTATGTGTATGTTAGAGGATATGTATCTGGAGCTGAATTACAAGCAGTTGTGAGCTACCTGACATGGATTCTGGGAACTGAACTTAGGTCCTCTGGAGAGCAGGAAGTGTTTCCACTGATGAGCCATCTCTCCAGCCTCCTAATTCACTCTTTAAATTACATGGAGAGCTCATCTTTTTCCTTAAGGCAGTGTCAACACACGGGTTTTAGGAAATCAGCTAAAATCTCACTTTAAAGTCACACCTAGCCCAGGTGCCTCTGATCTTCATAGGATAGCAGACCCCTGAGCATTGTGAGAAGCAGCTGAGCTTTGGCTCCTGGGGGAGAAACACCTGCCCTCACTCACAGACGCAGCCTTGTGGTTCTGCTCTGCTCTTGATGTGCCCGTGCCGGCTGCTGCGGTAATGGAGGGGTGAAGACATTGGGTCTAGAATCTCTGTGGCAAACCTGCTGAACTTGAATGCAGTCACTCCTCATCGTACCACATAAAGGCAGGATGACAGGTCAGCACCACACCTGTGGGAAGCTCTGGACCGCCCTGTTCCTGCTTCCTCTAAGGGTAGTACCAATAAACACCCTTTTGCTAGTCATTCCTGAAAAAAAGAGAATTACACTTTGAAAATCTAAGGGCATGCCTGTTTTAAAACTTACAACATAGGACTAGAGAGATGGCTCAGCGGTTAAGAGCACTGGCTGTTCTTCCAGAGGACCCAGGTTCAATTCCCAGCACCCACATGGCAGCTCACAACTGTCTGTAACTACAGTTCCAGGGGATCGGATTCCCTCACAAAGACATGCAGGTCAAACACCAATGCATATAAAAATTAAATTAAAAAAAAAAAACCCTACAACATAGATTTACAATGAGGTAAAATAAAAATACAATCCTTTATTATGGGTTTGCAATTAGTTAGACTGTGTATTTCTCCTGCAAAAATAGGAACACTGTTGGGGCTGGGGTGTGGCTAGAGGGCTTGCCTGGCGTTCCTGAAACCCTGGGTTTGATCTCCAGCACTGTGGTGTAGCTGTGAAGAGACGCTATGACCAAGGCAGCTTAGAGGCAAGCGTTTAATTGGGGGCTTGCTTACAGTTTTAGAGGGTCCATCATTATGGCTGGGGGTGGGGAGTGTTGATGTGAGCTTTTGAAACCTCAGAGTTCACCTCCAGTGACACCTCCTCCAACAAGGACACACCTCCTATCTTAGTCAGGGTTAATTTTGCTATGCCGAAACACCATGACCAAAAGCAACCTGGGAGGCGGGGCGGTATTTTACTCACAGTTCCATACCATCCAAAGCAGCGAAGGCAGGAACTCACGCAGAAACCTGGAGGCAGGAGCCGATGCAGAAGCTGTGCAGGAGTGCTACTTACTGGCTTGCTCCTCATGGTTTGCTCAGCCTGCAAACCATGGGTTCTTACTGAACCCAGGACCACCAGCCCAGGGATGGCCCCACCCACAGTGGGCTGGGCCCTCCCCCATCAATCACTAATATAAAAAACGCGGTACAGGTTTGCCTACAGCCCAATCTTAAAGGAGGCATTTTCTCAGTTGAGGCTCCTTCCTCTCTGATGATTCTAGCTTGTGTCAGCACTGCATAAAAGTGGCTAGTGCACCTCCTCGTCCTTCCCAAACAGTTCCACTGACTGGGACCCAGCCTTCAAATACAGGAGCTGTGGGGACCATTCTCACTCAGAACTCCACAGTGCAGTCATCATCCTATCGTGGAGGAAGGAGAGGCAGGCATCAGGGTCATCTTTGACTTAAGTTTGAGGTGGCCTCGGCTACAGGAGACTTGTCCTAGAAAAGAGAAGACAAAGAAGACTGCCCACAGTGGCCCGTGTGTCTTTGTACTTTCCATCTTTGCTATTTTCTTTCCTTCCCAGAACCTGGAAAAACAGGAGTGGGTATAAATGTGGTGAGATTAGATTGCCAACTTGCAGGTCATTGTGTGCTTGCTGGGTGGTCTTTCCCAGACTGTTATGTGACTCCTCTTCTGTCTCTAGGTACCTGGTGACCCATCTCATGGGGGCAGACCTGAACAACATCGTCAAGTGTCAGAAGCTTACTGATGACCACGTTCAGTTCCTCATCTACCAGATCCTCCGAGGGCTGAAGGTACAGGCAATAGCAGTGTCCTGTGGGGAAAGAACTCTCCCTTCTTTTCCATCTAGTAAGGACTTAGAACAGACAGTTTTCTTAGGAAAAACTTAGAAGAGTTAGAGTCAAACAACCCTGCTGCTCTTGTCTTTCCTAGACCACATATTACTATAAAGCAAGTCCAAGTGTTGTGTCATCCATTCCTTTGATTCTTCAGTCTGAAGATCCAAGAGAAGGGAACTGTTAGCCATACCAAAAACTTGGTAGCTTCTTGATAGCACCTGGTGTCTGATTAGTGTGCTTTGAGGCTTTAAAACGTTCCTCAGGCCTGCGCTGGGCTTTGTATTCCCTCTCAGGACTTGAGAGAGAGAAGGGAAGACCACTATGGGCATCATGATGAGTGCCCCATCCAGGGTTGTAGAGTGAGGTCTTTGTGGGGAGGGGTGCTCTTCGGGGAAGCTACTCTAATTGTAGGAGGGGCCGGTGAGCTGCTTTAGAATTAAACCACCTTGGATACTTAGCACATCATAACTCTTACTGAGGTCATCGGGGAGAAAAGAGGGTGACAGCTCCGGAGGTGGAGTGGGAGTGATGACGGCCCACGGTGAGCAGGGACAGTGCTCACTGCCAGGGAGACCACGGCAGACGTGCTGTCAGGTGTGACATGGGAAGGCTGGCAGTGGTTTTCCTTCACCTCACTTTCTTCTCTTTTGCAGTATATACATTCAGCTGACATCATTCACAGGGTATGTACTGTGCCTTAAATGATGATTATTTTGACGGTGTGAGCCGGGCTAGAGGGGTGGCATCTAGTTGAGATCTCAACCTTGAGTTTTAACTGTGGAAATAGTGATTGACCGCGACGTTGCTCTCAGTGAAGACTGGTAAAGGAGCACCTACCTTTGTGTCCCTGCTGAAGGAAGGGGCCTTGGCTCGGACACTGACTATAGCGTGGAGGTCTTCTGTGGGTCTGCGTCCTCTGCACCTGTCGGGGGGACTGTGTATCATCGGGCTGATACTGTCCCTCTACTTGCTTCCTAGGACCTAAAGCCTAGTAACTTGGCTGTGAACGAAGACTGTGAACTGAAGGTAAGAAAGAAAACATGGAATTGTTTGCGTCCCTTGGCCGTTCCTTAGCTGACCAGCTAGCTGACTTAGAGAAAATGATTCATAAGCCATGACTTTCAGTCTCAAAAGCCATTTGTCCTCAGGAATATCAGACTCTGGAACTTGGAACTGTTGGCTAACTAAGCAAGCTATTTAAATGGCCTTGGAAGTAGGTTTCCGGTGGCACACGCCTTTAGTCCAGCACTTGGGAGGCAGAGGCAGGCGGAGTCTGAGTTCAGGACAGCCTGGTCTACAGATCGAGTTCCAGGACAGCCAGGGCACACAAAAGAAGCCCTGTGTGTGTGTGTGTGGGGGGGGGGGTTAGAAATACAACATGTTAATTGTGGTAAAGGGTATTATAATCTGAATGGCAATTAAGCATTCCTAAAACACCTAAAACATTAGATAAGCTTCTAAAAAGAAAAATGGCAGAAACTTAGTGATTCAAATAAGACATAGATGAATTAGCTGTCTGTAAAAGGTAAGTAGTAGTACTATTTTTTTAAATGAATTTTTGGAAAAAAATAACATGCAGGGGGCTGCAGAGATGGCTCATTTGCCAGCACCCACATGGTGCTCTTAACCACCTGAATCTAGAGGACCTGATGCCCACTTCTGTCTCTGTGGGCATTGCATGCATACGGTACACAGCATACATGTAGGCAAAATACCCATTCACATAAAATTTAAAAAAATGAAAAAAAAATGCAGTAAATACCCCCATTTTAAATTCACCTTTTTTAGGTTCTAAGGTCCATGTAACTACTCCAGTTATAACATAGTAATCGCCATAACTTCAGAAAGTTCTGAGTGTCCCCTCCTAGTGACCCTTACCCTCACCCTGATCCAGGCAGCCACTGGTACGATTTTTGACTCTGAATTACTCTTTTGTAGTGTTTCATACAAATGGAATCCTGCAGAATCTTACACATGACGGTGTTACAAGTATTGAGTTCTCCGTCTCTGTGTCAGTGTTTTCATCCTGTTGCCACTAGTGTCCCGTTTCCTAAGCACACCAAAATATGTAGCCTGTCTTCCTGTTAATGGGCCTTGGAGTCTGTCTGCCGTGCGTTTGAAGTCACAACTGCAACGCCCACTTAGTGAGCGCAGCACTGTTTCCTCTGCCGTAAGGTTGCAGAACCTGCCTGTTCCTGTGCCTGACTTCTGCTCTTGCCCTCAGATCCTGGATTTCGGGCTGGCTCGGCACACTGATGATGAGATGACCGGCTATGTGGCTACCAGGTGGTACAGGGCTCCTGAGATCATGCTGAACTGGATGCACTACAACCAGACAGGTGTGCTGCTCCGGTCACCTGCCCAGGGTGGGCCCGCGTGGGGAGGGGCCCCTGCTCCCGTGGCTTCCAGATGACTCAGGGCTGGGTCTTCACCACAGGGGAGTGGGTGGACAGCTCAGTATTCCCGGGAGATCCACGTTCACCAGTAAGAAAGGTTTGCCCTTTGTGAGACGTTTGCTTCGTTTATCTTAATTATATTCTGACTTACACAACCTATGGAGCCCTTCCTTTAGTGGGTGACAGTTTTAATAAGCTTATTTATCTCTATAAAAAATGGTTGTTGAACCTCGGGTGTCTTAAATGTGGATTTGAGTCTTTCACTCCCGGTTAGAGTTCCATTTGTGGCCATGAATGTGAATAGAAACCACGTCTGTGCTTGTGTTCTCATTACTATTCCAGTGGATATTTGGTCCGTGGGCTGCATCATGGCTGAGCTGTTGACCGGAAGAACGCTGTTCCCTGGTACAGACCGTATCCTTTAACGCGTTTGGCCCTGCCTCCCCCCAGCTGTGCTCTGCTGTCGTAGATGTGTGTCCCTTACTCGTTTGTGGGCGAGACCCGGGCCCTTGCTTCAGTTCCGGTGTTGCTGTGGAGGTCTGTCCTCTCGTGGAGTAGCTCACCTTGCCAAGCAGACAAGCTTCAAACTCACTTGCCGTCCTTCGGCCGCAAGTCAGATTAGCGAGTTTGGTCTACTGCAGACCCTGAGCGGGTGTGCACAGTCACCTGTACCTCAGGCTGCGACCTGACTGACGCGCCTGCTGACTCTGGTCCTATCTGTTGATTGACAACAGACAGCAGAAGCGGGGAGAGGGCCCTGGTGTGTGCTTTGTTTTCCACACAGCGCCGTCCCTGGTTAAGCCAGCCCACCCTAGCCTCACACACGGCCCTCTACCTTCAGGGCACCAAGCACCCTGCCTTCTATCTGCTGGGCACATGTTCCGTGGCTTAGTGATGATATCGTCCAGTGTGGTCTGGGGAAACTCCGTCCGCTCCGCTTGGGGGAGGATATTTAGATGAGAATGTTAAAACAGATGCGGAAAAGCAGTCTGCAGGAGGGGTTGGAGAACTTGGTCGACTGGACTGCGGATGGTGTTGGGTGGGCTCTGGACACCACAGCAGTCGTGCTTCATCGTCAGCTGCAGGTTAGCTCGTGCCAGACAGACACTGCGTCTGTGAGCTCACTTGCTGACAGAGCTGCTGCTCCTCTCCTGCGACTGTCCTGACCGTGGTCTGTTGGACAGTGTCTTTGGTGCAGTGGAAGGAACCTCTGCTCCTCAGGTGTGCTGTCTGCTCCTCCGCGTGCTGCTGGACAGAGTCTAGCCTCCCCGGGCTTAGCTTGCTCTCCACGCTCCACTCTGGGACTCCACTGCCTAGAACAGCTTCCTCCCCTCGGGGTTCGGTTTGCTTGTGTTCCCGTCTAGGCTGAGAGATTAAGAGGTTGCGACCCCTCATGCTGTCCTCTGAGACGATCCTGACGCTGCCCTCTGATCTCTTCCCTCCTTGTGAAGTCTCTCCAGCTCCCCTTTGGTTAGTCTCAGACCACATACCTTCATAGACAGACAGACAGACAGACAGACAGACAGACGGTAACATCTGTAGGGAAACCTTAGTTTCTCACTTTTATAGTCCAGGTATTCACGGGTCAGGGGCCCAGGCTCCAGAATTTAGATTTCAGCCCTTTTACTTCAAATGATGTGGCTCTGGGCCAGTTTTCCAGCCTCGGTGTTGCTCGGTTTCCTTAACATGAGATGGCGTTAGTGTACAGCTCAGAAGGTGGCCGTGAGAATCAGTGCGGGCGCCGAGTTCACCGTGGCCGGTGTCTGCCACTCGCCATGGCCACATACTGAGAGAAAGAATTGAAAGGAAGACAGATTGATTTGGGCTCATGGGCTCAGAAGTCTCAGTGCCTGGCGAGGCAGAGCATCGTGGTGGTGGGAGCATGTGGCAGAGGAGTCTGCTCACTTCATGGTGGCCAAAAAGCAGGAAACAGTGAGAGCGGGGGTGTGAGAGGAAAGAAGCCAGGGACAAATACTCCTCTAGGACACACTCCCAGTGACCTACTTCCTCCCACCAGGCCCCACCTCCGAATGTTTCTTGCACCAAAATAGCACTGCCAGCCAGGGACCAGACCTTCAGCAGGAGGCATTTAAGGTCCATACCGTGAATATCCGATCCCTAGCCTCTGAAGGCCATATGCATCTTATAGTGCAAAACGCACTCAGGCCACGTCCAAGTGTCCAGATCCTCTTGAGTCTGAGACTCAAAGCAAACTCTCTGAGCTGCTAGCCCCTGTTAAAAACAGATTATAAAGTTCCAGTATTCAGTGGCATAAATGTTCTCATCCAAAGGTAAGGAAGGACCAGACCAAAGCAACATGAAACACAGCATTAAAATTCTATAGTTCCAGGTCCATCATTGGAGGCTCAGGGTGGTATGAGCTGAGTTCCAGAGGACTTGGGCAGCCCAGCTCCTGTGACCTTGCTGGATGTATCCATATGGCCTCTCTTGGCTTACTGCCTACAGTTCTGTCACAGTCCACACTCTGGGTACTCACATTGCTGGGGCCTCTTGTATCATCAGCTTCACTCTCATGCCTTCATGAATCATGCTCTCAGGCCACTCGCAAGGAATGCAACTTCTCAGGCTTCCCTTGGAAATCTAGTGGATACCTCTGCCACCCCATAATTCTTGGATTCTGCATGCCTCCAAACCCAGCATCATGTCAGTTGCCAGCTTGGGCAGTAGCTAGGTCTTTCTGGACCATGGCTGCAGTGACCTGTGAGTAGCTCAGTACCATGACTTAGTCCTGGGAAGACCCTTCCTCTAAGTGTCCCTTAGTGGGCAGGGGGTTCTCGAGGTGCTCTTTTCTAGGAGTGTTGTGGATGAGTTTACACTTTGCATCCTGGGCCTGCAGTGGTTAGGTCTCTCCAATTTCCAAGGGTCTCTGGTGAGTTTCCTCTCTTCTCTGTACAGAGTTTGGTTTGGTTTGAGCCAGTCTTAGTTTGTAGCCATGCTGACCTGTGTATCTCAGGATGGCCTCAACCTCACAGTGCTCCTCTTGCCTTGGTCTCTTAAATACTAGGTGGCTGTGCCTGGTATTCAGGGCTGGCCACCCAAGCCCTTTGGAACTCAACTCACACCACCTGAGCCTCCAGGGTAGACTTGGAACTGTGGTTCTAAGCTGGACCTAGAACCTAGAGCTCTGTGCGTGCTCAGCGAGCACTTCACCTGCTGAGTCACATCTCTAGCCCAGCAGGGAAGTCTCTCAGCAGCTCTGCCAGGCTGCTGTCTTGAGTAAAACTAGGAGGTAACCCACTTGGGTTTAGCTGAACTGGGTGAGCTGAGTTAGTTTAGAGACTGCTTCTATTTTTCTTAAGGTCTTGAGTCAGGAAGTTCTCTTCACTGTCTTGTTCTGATTTCCAGAGCTCCTTCAAGGACTCTGGAGATCATGCTGACCCCACAGCAGCCAGGCTCGAGGGCCTGAGGCCATACGCGTGAGGTTTACAAGCGGCTCATGGTGACCGCCTGCAGGCCGCCTCTCTGCTGGGGTTCAGTTCCTCTGTGGGTTGTGTTTGCCTCTTTAGTCATTGTGCCTTTGGGACTGACAGTCTTCTAGCTGAGAACTGCCCGGTGGGACTTTGGAGGCATTGTGGATGTGTTTTGTGTGTGTGTTGTTGATTCATAGTCATGAGCCTGTGTGGTTTATGTAATCTGGTGACTGATTGGAGTTTTGTGGGAAAGTGTATATAATGTAAAACTCACTACTTTAACTTCTATTGTGATAAGATTTCCATTAACAAAATTAACCTCAACAATTCTAAACTTCATAACTTAATAGCATTAATTATATTCGTGACGTTGGACAGTCATTGCCACTAACTACTATGCTTGTGACTCTCGAAGACCCTTTCATCTGGCTTAATAAGAGTGTTGATATTAATTGTGTAAAGAATAAGCCCTTCTCTAGAAGCCTGACTGACTCTGAATCACATGAGTTCAGCTGACAGAACTTAATAGCAAAAGAAGGAGACTTCAGACTGTCTCACCAGGTGGAATCCTAACTTTTTCCAGATGCCACCAGTTTTGAAATGTGTGAGTGTTAGGTATTGGAATCACTGATGCCCGGTACTTTAGCTTAAGAACAGTGATTTATGTAGCCTTTTCCTTATGTGTATCCAATATAGATGATATATTTTTCTACCAGTGATTACAGCCTTGGCTTGTGTGAAGAGACACCATGACCATGACAACTCTTATAAAGGAAACATTTAACTGAGGCTGGCTCACAGTTTCAGAGGTTCAGTCCATTATCATCATAGTAAGACATGGCGGCATGCAGGCAGACCTGGTGCTGGAGAAGGAGCTGAGATTCCTACATCTTGATCTGTAGGCAACAGGAAGTGAACTGGGCCATAGTGGGTGTAGTCTGAGCATAGGAGACCTCAAAGCCCAGTCCCCCAGTGACACCCTTCCTTCTACAAGGCCACACCCGCTCCAGTACAGCCCCACTCCTGTGGCCCCACTCCCTATGGGCCGTTTTCTTTCAAACCACCACAGCTTGTTACTTTCCTTTCCTGTGTAATCAGGTAAATTTCCTTTGTGTGTGGAAGCCCCTCCCCCTTTACAATGGACAAGTTACTCTTAAGATGTGAACTGTAGGATGGAGAGATGGCCCAATAGTTAGGAGCATCGACTGCTCTTCTAACAGACCCATGCTCAAATCCAGCATGATGGCTCACCATCATCGGTACCTCCAGTCTCAGGAATCCAGTGTCTTTTGGTCTCTGTGGCCACCAGGCATGCACATGATGCAGATATGCTCACAGGCTAATGCTTGTACACATAAAATAATAAAGATTTTTTAAAAAGACATGAATGATTGGGGCTGGAGAGATGGCTCAGAGGTTAAGAGCCCGACTGTTCTTCCAGAGGTCCTGAGTTCACAACCATCTGTAATGAAATCTGGCACCCTCTTCTGTATACATAATAAATAATTTTTTTTTAAAAAAAAGACATGAACGAGAAGGTGCAGGCGGTCGCTGGGTCACACTCACGCCTCGGTTGCTGCTCTGACCTATATAATGTCCTCAGTGTATTAGATCATTCTCAGTGCAATGGTGGTCCTTTCTTCTTTCCCAAATGTGCAGACTCACATTGAACCGTGTGTCTGCTCTATGCAGATGATGAACTGTGTGGGTAGCTAACCAAGCCCACTGCAGTGCCCGCAATATCATCTCTGCCCATCGCTTTGCGCTGTTGGTTTCCTGTATTTTCCTCACTTTTTGTTTGTTCTTCTCTTAAACTCAGGGAGGGACTTAAACATGCTAGGCAGGTACTGCGCCACTGAGCTGCGTCTCCAGAACTCTTCCTCGCTTGTGAAGAGAGAGATGGCCCGGGGGTTATGAGCTCCATAGCAGCCCTTCCTGTAGAGGACAGGACTGAGTTTCCAGCGCCCATGTCAGGCATCTCACAACTCCTGTGCCTTCAGATCCTTCAGCCTGTCTGCACACACAGACATAAATACATAAATTAAAAAAAAAAAAAAGAGAGAGAGTTTCTGATGCCAGGCATGATATCGCATACCTTTAAGCCTAGCGTTGGGGAGGTAGAGGCCTGTTCTAACATAGTGTGTTCTGTTCTACCAGGACTCACAGTGAAACCCTTTCTCAAAAAAGGAAAAAAGCAAGTGTCTTAGGAAATGCTGAGGGAGAAAAGTATTTTATGAGATTATTATTTGCCCTTTGTCCTTGAAAATGCATTTTCTTAGGAAAGGGTAGATGTCCCATGTTTGTCAAAAAAAACTTAGGGCTATTTATGTGTGCCAGTGAAGATGACTGCGTCCACACAGTCCAGAAGAGAAGGCAGCAGGCCGGGTTCCACTAAAGCCTGTCCTGTCTTGTCATTAGAGAGACTTCCTTCCCTCCCGGAGTCTTGTTCAGCCAGGCATGAGAGTACACACCTGTGACCCCAGCACTTGGGAGGCTGAGGCAAGGGGATTTCTGTGAGTTTGAGGTCAGCCTGAGTTACATTAATTATCTAGTTATCCATTATCCTTTCCCCTTACCTGTTTAAACATTCTACCCTCGGCATCTATTACAGAGAACTTGATCTCAAAAGTAACCTTGGGCCTAAATTGTCTTTTCCTTCTTATTTTTGTAGAAAGACTCAGGGAATGGATGAGTTAAAATGTGGTATTGCATCCCAATTGAAGCGCATTTGGAACATGCCTTCTGTGTAGGGAAGAAGGGCTGCACAGGTGTGAGGGCAGCCCACCGTGGACATGGGGCTGCGACGAGTTCCACTGCACTGCGGCGGGGCGTGTTAGGATTGACAGATTTGGTGGTGGCGGCGCTGCATGCTTTGCTTTTCTTCATGTCACGTCTTTCCGCTCCTGAGGCGGTTTCACTTTTCTAGTGTATTTACTACCTTCAACTCCCAGGTTGTGCGACAGCGACTCCATCCACAGCCCTCCACACTGGCGAAACACTTCAAACACGGAAAAGCCGCAGTCTTCGTGTGTGAGTGTGTGTGTGTGTGTGTGTGTGTGTGTGTGTGTAAGTTTTGTATAGAATGTGTGGTTCTGCGTTTGGAGGATCAGGCAGTGATGGCACACACTTTTAATCCCAGCACTCGGGAGGCAGAGGCAGGTGGATCTCTGGGAGTTCGAGGCCAACCTGGTCTACAGAGTGAGTTCCAGGAGAGCCAGGGCTACACAGGGGAACCCTGTCTCGAAAAACCAGCAACAAAAAAGAAAAGAAAAGTATATTACAGCAAGTCTCCAGGTCACTAGTGATTGTCAGGCTGGGTGTGCCAGGCACGGTGCCGGGGAGGGAGATGGCACCACCCTGCCCTCCCAACCAGAGTGGTCAGGCTGAGCTGACAAGGAGTGGTGGCCACGCTGACTGGAAGGAATCTTCCTCTGGTGGAAAAACAAGGTGGAGTGGGTAATAGAGGTCTAAATAAATTACTGGGGAGAAAAGTCAAGCATGAATTAGAACTCCAGATAATTAAATTGCTGTGCACATGCCAGTAACCCCAGTTCCTGGGAATGGAGGGAGGAAACTCAGGAATTCCAGGTCACCTCAGACACATAGTGAGTTTGAGGCCAGTCTCCAAAAAAGCATGTCCAGAAGGACTTCCTGTCTGCAGGAGGAAAGGAGAGTAGAGACTGTCTTCTCTAGTGCGCGAAAAGAGGCTTGGAAGTGCCTGGACCACTGGCTGTGATTGAAGCATCTCCACCATTCTAGAATAGTCCTTTAGATAAGCAGAGGTGGTTTGGTGGCAGATCACAGAGGGGCGTGAGTGTGAAGCTGAGGTGTCCCTCAGGGTGTTCGCCCTGAGAGTGTTCCTACCTGCAGACAAGGGGGAAGCTGTGGAGTGGTCTGCCTGCTGGGGTGTGAGCTCCAGTGTCAGAAAGGCTGCATGTTCTGTTCTTCAGGGCAGCTAGGAAACAACCAGACTCCACCTTCCGCAAAGGGAACATGAAGCTGGCCTCTCGTCAAGACAGCAGGAAATGCAGCTGGTTAGGAGACCTATACTCAGTCAGTCACTTTATGGAGTTCTGAGGCATACATTGTAAAACCCTGTCAGGGAGTTGGAAGGGTATTTCCTGCTGTGACACACTTCATCTTGCTGTAGCTACTCAAATCCCATGTTCCTGGAGAATAGAAATGTGAATGGAGCTAGATTCATGTAAATGGAGTGACTTTCCAATCTGCAGGAAGATCCTCTTGTCTCCACGGAGTGAGTCGGTGTCCATCTCACCCTCCCTCTGGCCCCACCCAGAGGAACCAGCTTTAAGCTTCACTCAGAGCACCCCATGTTGACCATTTGCTATAGCAGGTTTTGTTAGTTTTTTTTTTAACCACTCTAACTTCAGAAATATCTTATGTGAGTGGACTTGCTTCTGGTTTGCCTCGGTTTTCTGTAAGATGCGGTTGCTGGGTCTGTTGGTTCATTTTTTCTTAAAGGGCCAGATTAGCAACTGTTGCAGGCTTTGTGAACTGGGAACTGTGAGAGTGGCTGTAACCAGTGTGTAGACAGCAGGCACACAGCCTTGCTGGACTCCAGGAAAACTTCATGTATAAAACAGGTAGCAGGCTGCACCTGGCTGTCACCTTTCTAGAATTTTCTCCTGTTTAAGGAGGTTTTTTGTTTGTTTATTTGTTTGTATGCTTTTTCCTAAGTCAAGATGCTGTCTAATTGCATAGGCATTTCCTATGACTAGGCAACTGAGGTTTGCAGAGCTGTTCTCATTAGTAAGTTATGCTATCTTGCCTCTATGTGCAAACCAAATCAAGAATATTTTCGTCTGTTCTATCTGCACCGTAAGTGTTGTGTGTACCTTTTATGTACCAGATGATAATCTAGAAATTAGGGGTAGAATATGGATGATGGCATGCATCTGTCACCCAACACTTGAGAGGAAAAAGCCGAAGGATCCTGAGTTCAAAGCCAATCTGGGCTGAATAGGCTGCAAAATAAATGAGCTGCTTCCCACCCAAGAAAGTAACTGGGGATAGATGCCATACACTCCTGGCCTTGTCTGTCTGTGGACTTGGTGGAGGGACAAGGCCCAACAAGCTCACAGACAATTCCCAGATGCACGCTATGGTGTCATCAAACACAGTGCTCAGAGGGAATAAGGATGTTCTTAGGTAGAGTATCGGAGGTTGGGAGGGGATTTTAGAGAGTTAGGTGGAGAAAGGGTCCTGTCCTGCAGAGCCTGGTGGGGTCAGGTGGCTTCCTCCTCCTGATCATCAGCATAGGTCTGAATAAGCTGTTTAGATGTTCACAGAAAATATTAAAGGCCAGTGAGCAAGGGGAGTGTTTGATCTTCTGGTGGACACATGCTTATTTGTTCTGAGTAGACAGCAAGGTGCAGGATGCCAGAATAAATATCCTGGGCCCTTTGCCTTTATGCTTAAAGCATTTAGTGTGTGAAGTTTGCTAAACCTTTGCGTTCATAAGGTTGAAGCCTGGTGTACTCAAATTTATTGCTCCACCCTTGACAGAAGCCACTGTGTGCCCTCTGCCGGCTGGCTGTCCCTCATGCTCTGCCTTGTAGAGGGGTGGGGGAGGTCTCCAGAGGGCACTTTTCCGAGGGCAGGCTTGGGGTCAGAGCAGGCCTCCCACTGTCGGATTGCAGACTCAGTAGGTCACGCCTTAGGGGAATAGTCACAAATAGACTGCACAGCTGTGCGCTCCACCGCTGTGCCTCCTGCCGTCCGCTGCTTGCCAGCACCCTCTGCTCAGCTGGCTCCTGGTGCCGAGGTGGAGGTGAGGTGCAGGCTGGGCCCGTGGACGAGTGGCGCAGCTTGTGTGCTTTTCTCTGCTGTCTCAGACCCAGCCACTGTGCTTTACTTCTGCTGTATGATGTTGACAGATGTGTGTGTGGTGGCATTTTGAACCTTCATACAGGAGGAGCGTGCCCTGGAAGTGCAGCCCTGCAGAAGCCTTCCACCTAGGATCTTTCACCATGTTGGCCTTGTTTGGGGGTTTTAATTTTTGTTGTTGGAATGTTTTGTTTGTTTGTTCTGTTTTATTTTGTTCATTATTGTTTTTCCACTTTTATTTTGTCCCGACATTTTCCTTTATAGTCCATCATTAGATATTGATCAGTTGAAACTCATTTTAAGACTCGTTGGAACCCCAGGGGCTGAGCTTCTGAAGAAAATCTCCTCAGAGTCTGTGAGTTAATGCCTTGATTGTAATTCCTGCCCTATCGGGGATCCTCTGCCACTTGCCTTCCATCACTCTGCACTTTGACCTTTGAATGTTTGTAAGCGTGTGTGGTCTGTGTGCTGACTTCTGAAGTATACATGTGTATGCACACATGTGAGCCTGCATGTGCCTGCTTGCATGCATGAGTGTGTTCTATTCTGTCTTTATCTGGGTGTGGACTTAAAATCATGGGAACCCCTTTGGGGCAATTGTATGCTAATAAAACTGAGAGCTGAGATTCCAGTTCATTCAAGAGATTAATGGGAAATGTGTGTCTGCTCCTGAGCCCTGACTTCTCTGAAGTTGCCCACACTTTCAAGCTCTTCTCATTTCCTGCTGAGTCTACTCTCTGAGCACTTAGCATGTGCTAGTCTGACTTCACCTCTGAAGGGTTACCTGCTCTTCACTTCGGTCGGGGGGGGGGGAGGGGGGGGCGGAGAGGCCTATGTAGGGTGTCCTCCCATGGGGCTCCTGTCCCCACCCTCGGACCACACAAAGCAGCTTGCTCCACTCCTGACAATCTGCAGATGGCTCTGAGCTCCTCCAGGGACCTTGGTCAATACAGTGACACCATGAGGGGGCTACTTAGAACTCATGCTTTCTCCATGGAGGCCTAAGAGGGTGACTCTGTGTTTAACTGTTGGTCACTTTCTGAGGTCAGAAACTTTGAGGAGGCTAGGAAAGCCCCCCCCCCCCTTAGGGAAGTAAACTGAGGAGCCAAGCCCCGCCCTCCTCAGTCCTCCTCCCACCACTTCCTGATACAAGGAAGCAGGAGGCAGGCAGCCAGCACATGGGTTTGGGTGTTCAAAACCAAACCCTCACCTCGCCTGAGAAGATGAGAACCCAGCATGTGGTGTGTGGCTGCACATAAAGAACTGTGGAGCTCAGAACAGCTTTGAATTTCTGTTCCGAGGGGTGTGAAAGGGTGTGCTGAGCCCATTTCATTGTGTTTCATTTACTTGTTTAAGATAAGGAAGTGAAAACCCAGAAGCTGTGACTTGCCTGAGTCATGCTTTGAGTCACTGGGCAGAGGCAGTTGATCTCAGATGTTCTGGTAATGGGAGCTAATCATCTCATGCACTTGCACATTATTCTGAAAGTCGCTGTCAGAAGTATTGACCACAGCCAAAGAGTGCTTTTGAAATGCAGAACCTGGGAATGGAGAGCCAGAGACAGGAGGTGGTGTCCAGAAAAGACAGGCTTTGGGTTTGTTTTAGTGTGTTATAAAGAATGGCTGGTAAGAGGACCGTGGGGCAGAGTGGATCTTGGGAAAGGAGCTCGGCCAGATAGAGAACCCTGCAGAGGTGGCCCATCCTTCCCGGCCTGGTGCTGCTCTCAGCAGCTCCGCGTCCCTCCCACCCCCCACCCCCCCCCTCACCCCTCATCCCCCCCGTCTGCCTGTAGATGTACGCTGCCTGCTGTAGGTTCTGAAACCCACACGGGAAAGGTAATGCGCGCCCATCACTAACCCCTCACTCGGGTTTAAGAAACAGTGCTGGAGACGTGGCCTAATAATGAGACGCCATTATCTTAACATGAGGTGGATGCATCATACACTTCAACAGTTCTAGTGCAGCCCTGGGCAAAATAAACATCCTCTCAATACTACTCTGTTAAGTATAGTAATGAGAAAGGAGTTTTCCCTACATAATTGTCATGAGTGGATCAAGGTAGTCTCTGTGTTTAAAAGTGTGGGCAAGGTTGATTTAATGTTGGTGACACCACCCAATACTTGTGAAACTTAAAAGCACATGACACCAAGTATGATGGACAAGCCTGTAACCCCAGCACTCAAAAGGCAGAAGGGGTGAAGAGTTTGAAACTGGTCCAAGTACATAGCAGCTCTGAGGCCAACTTGGGCTAATTTGTAAGACACTATTTAAAAAACAAAAAACTAGTGCTGAGCTGTAGCTGTTCCATCGACAAGGCCGTGGGTTTCCTCCCCAGAACCCCGTAAGGATGGGAGGGAGGCACATAATGCCTAATTACAGGTGGAAAGAAGCTGAGTGAGGAAAACTACTCAGAAATTTTAAAAAGAAACATTAGTGAAGACTCTAGTCAACAGGATGCTGTGGATACTTCATTTCTCTCCCAAAGAGTGGAGCAGTGAAGCCAGCGTGGACAAGCACACAGATCTGAGTAGCAGAATGTAGGGGTGGATTAAATAGTCATGATGGAGGCCGGGGACAGAACTCATGGTGTCCTGACACCTAGATTGAGGGAAAGAACAAACCACAGTACTAAGAACAAAGGACTGACTCCTGTTCCCTTTAAAAGTAAGTTCCCGACCCTCACACGGGAGGGGTCTGATCACCTGTTTGACAAAAGCAGAGAAACCCGGGTCCTCTGCATGCCTTTCCCAAGGAGAGTTGGCAGGACTTTGGCGGGTGAGACCCAACTGAATCCTGCCCTAGCTGGTTCGCTCTGTGACTGTTTGTTCTTTCTCGTAGCATGCAGAGTATTGTTGAGTATGTATTTTGCTTGAAGGTTAAGTCTAGAAGCTGGTAGAAGGAGCCAGCCCATCTTTAGGCTCAGGTAGAGGAAAGGCAGATATGTTATCAGTAATCTGACATCTAGTAATCTGGCATCGAGCACAGTTCGACATACTTGAGCTAACATGAAGCAGCGTTCAGGGAAGCCATGAAGGAGTGAAATCGTTTGGTGTTTATTAAAGATGAGACTTCAGCTGAAGGACAGACCCCTTCCCTGAAGGGAAGTAGAAGGGAAGCTCACTGAGTCACGGTAAGATTTAAAATGCCATCATCACTCTACTTTGAGAGGGAGTGTGATGAACTGGCAGTGGGTCCTTACAGTTTAGAAGCTATAACCTGTAACAGTTGTGTTGCTATTGATAGCATGGTTAAAGGAAGTTTAGCGTTGACCTGTCGTGTGCATAAGGACACTGAGATGGCTCAGTAGCAAAGGGACCTGAATTAATTCCTAGAACCCACACGGTGGGAGGAGAGAACTGACTCCTACAATTTAAAGGTCCACTGACCTGCATGCATGAGTGGTGTGTGTTCCCCTCGCCGCCACCCACACACGTAAAAATGTAGTGAGTAAAGTTGTGCCCGTCAGAGAAGCACGGCATTTTGAAGTTAGTGTGTCCCCCATTGCAGGCATGGGGATGACCGAGACACTGTCACCAGCCTGTGGCTTCTGTTTTGCTTTTGCCATGAGCTTCCTCATGTACCCTTCTTCACCTGCCTGGGTGTGTGGCATGCTTTCGTTTGTGTGTTTGTTTATTTTTGTTTTTGATGACACAGGGTTTCTCTGTGTATCCCTGGCTGTCCTGGAACTTGCTTTGTAGACCAGGCTGGCTTGAGCCCACAGAGATCCAGCTGCCTCTGCTTCCCGAGTGCTGGGAGAAAAGGTGTAGCCTGCATTTTAAATGTACCATTGCCAGTGTCTGAGACTTGGCATAGTTCGACACACCCACTCCCGGTGGTTCAACTTGTAGGGAGTGACTCCTAGAGAGTCTGTACCTCAGGCAGATGTATTGGATAGTTGAGTTTTCCAGAGTCTAGTTGCCATTGTCTCCGTCCTCTGTGTTTGCCACTGTGGCAAACAGGTTTCGGCTACTGGTACTTAAAAGCAGTTCTCTGGCTGGCATCCTGGATCAAGGAGCGGTCTGCCTCCAGGGAACTTGAACTATTTAACATTAAAGTTGACACTTAGGGAAAAGCTAGTTTTTATGTCTGCATGGCCTCTCACCGGCTACATGCCTAAAAGCTCCTGCCATTCTCCAAAGAATGTTTTAACACTCAGCCTTAGGCTCGGGCTTGGGTAGGTGGGAAAGAGTTGTTTCTTTGACTTTAAAAACAAAGGCACAGCTTGAGCTGATTTTTGCACTGTGTGTTTAACAATACCCTTGACTAGGCATCTAAGATATTAACCAGCTTCAGCAGATAATGCGTCTGACGGGGACACCCCCTGCTTATCTCATTAACAGGATGCCAAGCCATGAGGTGAGAACAAATAGCACGTTCAGGGAGGTCTAACTCAGGCCACCTTCTCTTTGCAGTGTCTGTGTGTGACCGGCAGTTCCTGATGTCACCAAACGCTTGCGTGTGCCCCAAGGACTGCCGAGGCAGGGGCTGGCTGTGTGCCAACAGAGCAGTGACGTTGGGGTGATACAGTGTAGGCTTGTACGTAGGAAGCAGTGTTCCCGGGGTGTTTGGCTTCTGAAGCTTGTGCTTGAGGCACTGTGTGTCTTTGTAGGTGTGTGTAGTTAGGCTGCGCTGCAGCTTCCTCACAGGTGCATGGAGCAGAGTGCATTAGCGTGCTTTCCTATCCATCCATTTTTAATGACCCAGAGAGGATTGTATGCAAGCACACACTATAAAATACCTTATGCTAATGGGTGTGCTGTGTTTTGTGTTTTTTTTTTGTTTTTTTTTTTTTTTCATAATAAATGTGAGCACTCAGATAGAATCAGGTTCTTGACCAGTTCATGACCATTTAACCTAACTCCAGTTCATAATCAGTGGTGACTGGGGTACTTCTGACGTGCCCTCAGTGTTTTGGGAAGCCAGGTTAGCAGACAGACAAACTCTCCTGGCGGCGTTGTTTGCATTTCAGCCCTAGCTGAACGCTCTTCTTGTTTGTGTTGAAGGATGGCTTCTCTGGGTGCGATGGGTCTTCTTGCCTTTCTGCTCCATTCCTTCCTCCAGGCTGCCTGGTTAAGTAGGAAGGGATTACAGCCAGGTGTGTGTCTGTTCTATAACTTTGCAGATTAGAGTGGGTCTCTGCTGCAGTACCAGCTCTCCCAAACTTAGCTGATTGGGAAGACAGTCCTGGAAAAGACCACTTCTTAGATGTCTCAGTTCTGTTTTACACTTCTGCTCCTGTGATAAGAAAACTAATGAGAGGGTGGTTGGTTGGTTAGCAGTCTCACCCACGTGAAACAGAACTGTGGGGAGACGGCAAGAATAAAGTCATGGCTCCAAAGGAGGAGTGAGTCCGGCACGAGCAGCCGGTGAGTCTGGCACGAGCAGCCGAGACAGTGAACCGCAGTGGGGGGGGGGGGGGCCTCGGCTCAGCCACGGGGCTGCTGGCCCTCGGAGAGCAGTAACACCACTGACAGTCATTCTGAAAGTCCGTGTCTTTACAGGCAAGAAACTACATTCAGTCCCTAGCCCAGATGCCGAAGATGAACTTTGCAAATGTGTTTATTGGCGCCAACCCCCTGGGTGAGTTGATCGTGTTCGTTTTGTGACATAGATTGGGGATTTGAAGTTTTGTTCGTTAGGTGTCTTTTGGGTCTTAATAAATATGGCTGTTACTGTCTGTTTAAAGAAATCAGGCGATGGGCTTGTGTAGATGGTGGTGGAAAGAGAAGGCATTGGAGAACAGAAAACAGAAGGAGATGTGGGGACATGAGGTGGAAGGAAGGAGACCTGGAAGCGAGCCATGACCCTCACAGCTCCAGGACAGACTGCCGAAGTGCAGGTGCACGCTTAGTGCCCAGCCCTGGGTCCCGTTGTCCCCGCTCTCACAGACGCTGTCCCTTTCCTCTTCTCTCTGCCTTTGTGGAGTTCATTTGCCATCTCAGACTTCGGGAGATGGCTCATTGCCTTGCTGCCCTTGTTACCTCTAGGATTCCCTGGCAAACGGAAGTGACAATGGTAGCTAAGAACGTTTTGCCAGGGCCTGGAAAGATAGCTCAGTGGTTAACAGCACTGGCTGTTCTTCCAGAGGATTCAGGTTCAATTCCCAGCACCCACAGGGCAGCTCACAACTGTAACTCCCATTCCTGGTGATCTGGCACCCTCACATAGACATACATGTACATAAAATAAAAAGATGTGTTTTGCCTTAGCTAAAACTCCAGTTATTATTCCTTAACGATGGGGGCTAATACATGTTCAGATGGTTCCAGGACAGTTTGCTGGCTGAGGCTGTAGTTCCTTACTCTAGAACAGTGTCGCAGACAGTAGTAGACCCAGAAGGGCCAGACCACAGACTCCCTGCAGTAGGAAGGGAGTGAGCAGGTGGGGCAGCTCGTGTCCTGGCCTCCTTACATTCTTGCAGATGTTCCTGGAGGGCTGTTTTTAAAGCTTACTGCACTTCATTATCTGTGTGGGTCATATCTCTTTCTGTGGGTTCCAGAAGCCATGCAGCAGAGGTAGTTGTTGCCTTTGGAGAGCTGATGGCCATGGCAGTGGGTTCAGAAGCTGGGATATGCAGGTGCTGTTTCCCTTCCAAGAATTTCATCCATAGCCACGGTGCAGAAGAGTGTCTGTGGTGATCCTGTGGCAGGAGAGGTGCCACACTCACTGTGGCTGCTGTGCCCCTGTGGCAGGAGAGGTGCCACACTCACTGTGGCTGCTGTGCCCCTGTGGCAGGAGAGGTGCCACACTCACTGTGGCTGCTGTGGTCCTGTGGCAGGAGAGGTGCCACACTCACTGTGGCTGTGGCTGCTGTGGTCCTGTGGCAGGAGAGGTGCCACACTCACTGTGGCTGTGGCTGCTGTGGTGCTGTGGCAGGAGAGGTGCCACACTCACTGTGGCTGCTGTGGTCCTGTGGCAGGAGAGGTGCCACACTCTTGGAGGAGTGAGTCCAGCCTAAGCTACGTCACTCGAGCCTCAAGTGTGCAGGATACTGAGGGGTTAGGTTGGTTTGTGGCCTCCCTGGCATGCTCTCACTAGGCCTTCTGTGGCGTTCTTGAGCTGCATCATTCAGGTAGGGGTCTGTGAGGTCTCTGTGATCTGTAAGCTATCTGGGATGTTAGGGGGATGCAGAAGGCGTCCACCCCAGCACCCCACATTTCAGATGCAGCAGTGCCCCGTCTGACTCTTATCTGCCTCAAAAGGACGTCTTCTGCTTTTGATTGAAGTCACACGTGTCCTGATGGGTGTCCCCATTTAAACACTGTAAAGAACTGGCTACCAGGAGTCAGTCCAGACTGCTGGGGAGCGAAATCTGGTGCTCAGCACAGCCTGCTCAGATCCACGCGTGCCTCACAGCCCATTGCCAAGTGCTGATGTCAGAGGGAACGTGCTGTGACGATCACTGGCCGGGCCGCACACCCCTGATACAAATGTTAACAGCCCTGTCCGTTGTCGGTCCCTGGCTTCGCTCACATCACCACTGCTCTCAAGACACAACTGAGTTCTTCGCTGCCCTTTGATCTTAGTGTCTATTCTGTCTGCCACCATCCTTGAGAAGTCTTTTTCTTGCTTCTGACCTGGTTCTCCTCTAAGTGCATTGGTCCTCAGGATGTGTGACTTTTTACCATAGGGTGGCAGGCACCCAGCCATTCGTGTTCAGTATAAAATCAGCAGATTTGTAGAACATGAAAAGAATATCTCTCCAGGCAGTTCACCTGGTGCTGCAGTGCTGGTGAAAATAGGGGCATTTGACCTGTTTCCTGATCCTCTGCTTCCTCCCCCAAGTGCTGGGATCCCAGCTGCACCACCACGCCCCGTGTGTGCACTGCTGGTTTTGGAATCAAAAGCCTTGTGACACTTGGCAAGCACTCTACAATCTACATCCCAGTCCCTCTTTAAAGTGTAGACTCTCCGGGCAGTGGTAGCACACACCTTTAATCCTAGCACTGGGGAGGCAGAGCCAGGCAGATCTCTGTGAGTTCGAGGCCAGCCTGGTCTACAGAGGGAGTTCCAGGACAGGCACCAAAGCTACACAGAGAAACTCTGTCTCAAAAAACCAAAAAAAAAAAAAAAAAAAAAAAAAATTTAGAAAATAAAATAAAAAACAAAAAAATAAAGTGTAGACTCAAGAATCTAAGCCAACATATGCATGTTTCCTGTTTCCACTGTACACTCAAAGCCTGACTAGATTTCAAGCTGCAAGATCTGTGATGACTGTGATAAACAGAGGGACATCACCTCTCAGGAAGCTTTCCTCCTCCTCCTCCTCCTCCTCCTCCTCCTCCTCCGCACCATAGCCCTCCAAGGGGGAGAGATCATCTGGGGCTGGAGGGACTGTGGGAGCCAGCGGACATGCACTATAGTGCACATAGGATTAAAAGGGAAGAACCTGTGGGCTTGGAGACTGTCTCCTTGATAACTGTTCAGGGTGGCGTTACCCAAGAGGACGTCCTCCTCGGACAGAAGTGGACAGCTCCGTTCCTCAGAGAGAAAAAGCAGTAATACTAAAACCATTATTGGAAGTAACTAATACTCACCAGGAGCCAAATACTCCCCCAGACTACTCACTTGGGGAGAGGGCATAGGTAATGGAGATGCCAGCCGCCTTTAGCTGCACTGGCAGTGGAGCAGGGTGCCCCTCCAGTTCAGGTAAATCTAAAGAATGGAGGGAAGTGAGAGGGCGGTACGTAAGAGCTTGAAGAAGGAGTGGAAGCCTGTGATGATGGCTGTCTGTATCCCAGTGCTCAGGAGCGTGAGTTCAAGATCATCCTGGACTACATAGCAAGTCTGAGGTCAACCTGGACTAGATGAGAGGGTTTCAGGAAAGCTAGAGAGAGCGAGCCCCATAAATGTGTCATGACTTGAACAAATGAGTTGTTGGAGACAGCTTTGATACAGCTGGAGACATTTTACCACAAACTAGGTTTGGAGTTAATGACAATGTTCTGGTCATGTAGGATAGTATCTTTGTACTGAAATATTTGGGATATAAAGTGTCATCTCAATAATCTTAAAACAGTTCAGGAGAAACACAGAAATATGTGAAAAATATGTCAGATATTGACTGATGCCCCTGCATGGGGCATGGGTTCCCCTGCTGGGTTTTTTTGTTTGTTTGTTGTTGTTGTTTTTGTTTGTTTGGTTGGTTTTTCGAGACAGGGTTTCTCTGTGTAGCTTTGCGCCTTTTCATGGAACTTACTTGGTAGCCCAGGCTGGCCTCGAACTCACAGAGATCCATCTGGCTCTGCCTCCCGAGTGCTGGGATTAAATGCGTGCGCCACCACTGCCCGGCTGCCCCTGCTGTTTTAATGGCTATTTCTGTATTTCAAATTTTCACAGGGGAAGTCTTAAGGATCAGATACCTTTGTTGAGTATCTTTTCTTCTGTGATCCTCTGGGAAGCCCTCAATCTGCTAATTGTTTGACGTTCAATTTATTCATTGTATTTGTCATATAAGTTGTATAGTATAGGAAGAGGGCAAAAAAAATCAAACAACCTGCCTCATAGATGCTTTAGTCATTGGCTCCATTTCAGTGTTTGATTCAGTAGTCGCTGTGGTGTTGACACTGCAGAAAAGCTTGGTCGAAGCCTGGCTTTGGGGAGTATATGTTGTTCTGTTCATTTGAAGTTTTTTTGGGGGGGGGGCGGCGGGCGGGGGGTGAGACAGGGTCTCACTTTGGCTGTCCTGGAACTCGTTATGTAGACCAGGTTGGCCTCGAACTCACAGAGATCCACCTGCCTCTACCTCCCAAGTGCTGGGATTAAAGGCATGCACCACCACCCAGCCCGAGTTTTTTGTTTGTTTTTTGTTCTTAATTTTTCTTTTATTAGTTTGTTTTGTTTTGTTTTGTTTATTGGTCTGGGTTTGAAACCCAAGACCTCAAGAACGAGCAGGGAAGTACTTTATACCTGCCCGGCCCAGTAATGTTCTTAAAATGTACCAGCTTCGTTCATACATGGACACACAGGAAAGGGATTGCACACAGGAGCACACACCTGAAAGGACTTTTTGTTTGGATATGAAAGGAGCTTGCATGGTGATGGCACTAATGTCCTGTTTTCCTCTTGTGTGACAGCTGTGGACCTGCTGGAAAAGATGCTTGTTTTGGACTCAGATAAGAGGATCACAGCAGCCCAAGCCCTTGCACACGCCTACTTTGCTCAGTACCATGACCCTGATGATGAGCCTGTGGCTGACCCCTATGACCAGTCCTTTGAAAGCAGGGACCTCCTTATAGATGAGTGGAAAAGTAAGTCCAGAGGCGGAGCTAGAATGGGATCAAGAGCTTGGTTTCAGTTTATTCTTGGTTTGTTTGTTTTTTGAGCCAGGGCTTTTTTCTGTGTAGACCAGGCTGGCCTCAAACTCAAAGATCCACCTGCCTTTGCCTCCCAAGTGCTGAAAGGTGTGTGCCAGCATGCCAGACTTATTGGACCTAAGGCCTCACACATATACACAAGTTTTCTACCACTGAACCACATGCCCAGCCCAAGAACTTATTTTTAAACCTCTTTTCTGGGTGATTCTCACTAATCAAAAGCCTCGGGAAAAAGAAGAGCTCATCGATGGCAACCTAGTACTGTACCCCTGTGGTCCCAGCACTCAGGAAGTAGGTTACAAGGTTAAGGCCGTTCACAGTTCCAGAGGTAGTTTGAGGCCAGCCTGGGCTACATGAGAGCCTGTCTCCGTAAAACCCTGTTACTGCCCACTCACTAAAGTCGCAGCCAGGGTCTGTGCACACTCCTGCGCAGTGGGTGGCCAGGGTAGTTCTCTTCACATGAACCTAGCTGCAGGTCATGAGCAAGGCAGATATGAGGGAGCGTCTACCATAGACAGCAGTCTCAATTATCACACCTCCCCCTTCCTTCCCTGCCGTAGGCCTGACGTACGATGAAGTCATCAGCTTTGTGCCACCGCCCCTTGACCAAGAAGAAATGGAGTCCTGAACACCTGGTTTCTGTTCTGTCGGTCCCACTTCACTGTGAGGGGAAGGCCTTTTCATGGGAACTCTCCAAATATCATTCAAGTGCCTCTTGTTGAAAGATTCCTTCATGGTGGAAGGGGGTGCATGTATACGCATAGTGTTTGTGTGTTCGTGTGTGTGTGTGTCTGTCTGTCTGTCTTTCTATCTGTCTTGTCTGTCTGTCTGTCTGTCTGTCTTTGTGATAGCAGTGACTTCGTGAGTCGTGAATGCTCCGTGGCAGCCTCTGCCTGCTTTCTCAGAGTCTGGGCAAGCAGATGGGAACTGCTATCTTGTTAGGGATGTATTAAATGCAAAGTAAGAAATATTAAAATATACCTGTTCCCAGTTACACTTTGGCCATGTCCGTCCCCCCGCCATGCAGACAGCGAAGAGGACCGACCAGCTCCCAGGCTCTAGCCTGTGATTGGCTTACTTACTAAGGTGGTCCTCAGAGCCTGACAGGGGTGTTCAAAGCTGTCAGTCTGTTCGTGCCTTAAAAGGAAAAGGACGCTTAGATAGTTACAGAACCGCAGCTGCTGACGTTCTGAGCCAGGCGAGTGCGCGGGGCTGTTGGTGGCCAGTGGTGAGCTGGGAGAAACAAGGCAGCCTTCAGGGAGGCTGTGTGTGTCTGTCTGTCTGTCTGTCCGTCCATCCACCCGCCCACCCTCCCTCCCTCTCCCAGGAGCGAGTGGTATCTATGCTTACCCTTCACCTCAGTGCAGAGGTCTCCAGTGCCAGGCGCAGGTTGCCGCCATCACCCGCTTCCTGTGTGCTCTTCACATCTAGCAGAGTGCAGGTGTTTGCATGCTGCCCTCTTGGAGCTGCAAAGCCCATGTCTGTCCTCGGGAAGCCCAGGCCGGCGTGTGAAGACTTCTGGCAGTTCCAGTCTATGTTTCCTCAGCTGATGCCGTGGGCACGCCACTGCCCCCTCACTCCATCGCTACTTTGTGTTGAAAACAACTGATCCTCCAGGTGCTGTGGTGCAAGGAGACGCCAGGACAGACAGGGCGCCTGAACTCTTGCCATCTGTCACCAATTCAGGGGGAACGAGGCCTCTCCTGAGAGTGCCCCCAGCTCTGGAAATCATGTTCTCACTCGTGATAACCAGCTAAGAAACGCTGAACCGCAGTGAGGACCAAAGGCTCGTGAGGCCGGGACTCCTTTCGCTGTCTTTCTCAGAATAGAGTTGTTAAGAACAAAACCAGGGAGTCAGCGGCGCCTCTCCTCAGAAGGGTCCTCCCAGCAGCTAGACACGGACTGATTCTCGGTCTTGGTGTTGATTTGGGGAGAAACAATTTTGTCTTGGAATTTTATATGTTGTAGGAATCCTTAGAGAATGTGATTCCTTCTGATGGGGAGAAAGGGCAAATTATTTTAATGTTTTGTATTTTCACCTTTATAAAGATGAAATCCTCAGGGGTGAAGAACTGTTTGCATAATTTTCTGAATTTTGGGCACTTTGTGCTATATGAGGACCCATATATTTAAGCCTTTTGTGTAATAAGAAAATGTAAAGCCAATTCCAGTGTTGGCCGTGACAGGTCTTGTATTTAGGTCAAGGTGGCTCCATTCTCTATCAGTGCAGGGACGCATGCTCCAGGCAGGCAGGGTAGGACCCCTGATCACCCGGAGCCCAGAAGGAAGCAGACTGGCCAGGCTTTACCACCTCGGTATGCAGTTCAGCTCCTCACCAACCCAGCAAGATGCATTCTAGTGGTCATGTCTGGTTATGAAGGCAAGTGTGATTTCCGACAGGATTCTGCTCGGATTACTTTATTGAAGATGTCTTTGCACATGTGACCATGCTGTGTTAAGAGGCCATGCTCCAGGGCCCGGACTCACTGGAGCTGGCCAGAGAGCTCCTGGCATCCATAGCCAAATGCTGCCATCTCCCAGTTTCTCTACCGGAAGACAAGGGAACGAGGGAACTGCTGTTTTGTTTGTGTTCATGAACTTGGCTGTAGTTCCATATGCCATAGGATGTCAGACAATACCACTGGTTAAAATAAAGCCTATTTTTCAAATTCACTTGGCTCCTCTTCATTGTGGTGGTTTCAGCATGGCCTGGCATACATTTCTGACAGACCCTTTATAAAGCTGTTTAGTAGTTGACTTGTGTGTGGTAGAGTCAGATCTTTGCTGTAAGTAAGGTAACACAGAGTAGAACAGCATGATTAGAATGGCCTGGGCTGGGTCAACAAACACTTGTACAGCCTTCAATGAATGGTTTTCACATCTTCAGATGATTGAAAGGGTCAAAATGTTTTTTTGTAGCATGCATGAATACATACACATTCAAACCTAGCGTCCAAAAATAAAGTTTAATCAGAGAGTACCCACAGATTGTTACTTGTCCTCTGTGGCTTGCTTGCTACAGTGACCATTGGAGTAGTTGGGACAGAGACCACAGGGTTTACCCAATTATCTGCTTGACGTTTGGCCCTTGTCAGCTTTACTGACTTCTTGTTTTATTTGTTTTGGTTTTTTGAGACAGGGTTTCTCTGTGACCTCCCTCTGTAGAGGTGTGCGCCACCACCACCCGACTGCTGACCATTTTTTAAAATGAATTTTAAGTTGCTTTTTGATTAAACATTCTAAGACTGTCTGTATGCTGTATATTTACCTTAAAATTGCCAGAGAGAAGGCTGGGTGTGTGCCTATGTGCGTGGGATCGCAGTACATCTGTTTGACTCTGCTGTCTTCACGGCCCTGGAAAATGCTCTTCAGAACAGTGAGCTGCATGGTGGGATTACAGGCCTGCAGGGTATCCCGGCCAGGCTCTCAGGCTTGCTGGAATGGTTCCCCGGCTGTCTTGGGAGGACAGTGCAGGAAGCACTCAGCTGGGCTTTTTGTCTCTGGCTGCCAGCTGGGAATAATGTCAGTAGTCTACTGCAACACTAGTGTAGCTCCGTTCTCATCCTCTGGAGCATGAGAGAAGATGGCTTCAGCTAGCATGCCTGCGTGGGGAGCTCTGGTAAACTCAGCGGGGCCAGCAAGATGACTTAGGGAGCAAAGTGGCAATGTCACCAAGCCCGACAACCTGAATTCAACCCTAGGGGCCCATGTAGTAGAAAGAACTGACTCCCAAGTTTCCTCTGATCTCCATGCTTAGACAGAACTTTTAAATTAATGAAAATAAAAACTAGGGGCTGGAGAGATGGCTCAGAGGTTAAGAGCACGGACTGCTCTTCCAGAGGTCCTGAGTTCAGTTCCCAGCACCCACATGGTGGCTCACAACCATCTGTAATGAGATCTGGTGCCCTCTTCTGGCCTGCAGTCATACATGCTGTATACATAATAAATAAATAAATAAATGAATGAATGAATGAATGAATGCTGTATACAAAATAAATAAATAAATAAATGAATGAATGAATGAATAAATAAATAAATCTTTAAAATAAATAAATAAAAATAAAAACCAGGCCATTTGGGGGACTAACAAACCCAGACCCAGCTTTCCTGGGGTTATAGGGCCTGCTTAGACAAAGGAGGACCCAGAAATTCAGGTGAATGCACTTAATATGGTAACCAGAGCTTCTTAGGATATAGAAAGGAAGAGGAAAGGGTAGCGCTGTGGTTGCTGCTGTTGCCCCCAAAACACCTAACAAAGGTGTGTTCTTAATTTCTAATCTATGTCCATGAACAAAGAATGATCCCAGTGTTTGGTTCTCAAACGGGACACTTAATGTCTTTCGGTATCATTTGTTTTGTTTTGGTTTTTTGAGACAGGGTTTCTCTGTGTAGTTTTGGTGCCTGTTCTAGATCTCACCCTGTAGCCCAGGCTGGCCTCCAACTCAGAGAGATCCACCCGGCTCTGCCTCCCGAGTGCTGGGATTAAAGGCGTGCACCGCCGCCGCCACCTGGCAAGTAAATAATTTTTTTAAACGTGGGTGGTGCCTAAGGAATGACTTGTCTGGCCTCCCTGTGCATCCACACCTGGCCACACAAACATGTAGACACAGAAGAATGTAAAAACCCTGATGGCCTCTCAGCCTGCCAAATACATCGGATGTATCTGCCTGGCCACTCTACTGTTACTGAGTCTAACTCCCACTTCTCAGTGACTTTACTTGAGATTTTGGTTTTCTAGTGTATCAACCTGACCAGGCCCACCAGCACTTGTAAGACAGGAGACAGCTGGCAATTAATCTGCTTGGTATTTTATTGTTTGATACATATTTATACCAATGACTGTCAAAAGGCTAGAGTACAACCAGCAGGTCTGAGTACCTGCGGTCAGTCTGTCCATCCTCATGACTCACTTCTCCACCGTCTGATAACCAGGAGGACTCAGTTAACAAATAATGCAAGGAATGGGGGAGGGGAGGGCTCTATAATCTACATGCGTAGATGATATAAATTAATATAGATTTATATAAATTAATACGGGCACACCCACTACACCTATCGGCTACACATCCACAAGTCTACAAATGCACAGACAGAACGATGATCGTTGAGTGCCACGTTCTCCCTAACGGAAGGCACTGGAGACAACTGTTGCTAGAGTTTTCCGCCTTGCCCACAGTCAGGACAAATCTTTGTC